TCATCATCACCTCACCATCATCATCATCACCACCATTATCATCATCATCATCGGGACACCAGCGCCGTCACCATCATCATCAACACCATCATCATCGGGACACCATCATCACCATCATCGAAACACCGCCATCATCATCACGAACAACAACATCAACATCATCATCATCATCATCATCATCATTGGGACGCCATCATCATCGTAACCAGCATCATCACCACCATCATCATCATCATCGGGACACCATCATCATCAACATCAACATCATCGACATCATCATCATCGGGACACCATCATCATCGTAACCAGCATCATCACCACCATCATCATCATCGGGACACCATCATCATCAACATCAGCATCATCATCATCACCATCATCGGGCCACCATCATCAAAATCAGCATCATCACATCATCATCCTCATCATCATCATCATCATCATCATCATCATCATCATCATCGGGACACCATCATCGTCGTGATCATCAGCATCATCATCATCATCGGGACACCATCGTCATCATCGTCATCATCATCAACATCATCGTCATCATCGTCACCATCATCATCATCATCGGGGCACCATCATCATCATCATCACCTCACCACCATCATCATCATCACCACCATTATCATCATCATCGGGACACCAGCGCCGTCACCATCATCATCAACACCATCATCATCGGGACACCATCATCACCATCATCGAAACACCGCCATCATCATCACGAACAACAACATCAACATCATCATCATCATCATCATCGTCATCATCATTGGGACACCATCATCATCGTGACCAGCATCATCACCACCATCATCATCATCGGGACACCATCATTATCAACATCAACATCATCGACATCATCATCATCATCGGGACACCATCATCATCGTAACCAGCATCATCACCACCATCATCATCATCGGGACACCATCATCATCAACATCAGCATCATCATCATCACCATCATCGGGCCACCATCATCAAAATCAGCATCATCACATCATCATCCTCATCATCATCATCATCGGGACACCATCATCGTCGTGATCATCAGCATCATCATCATCATCAGCATCATCGGGACACCATCGTCATCATCGCCATCATCATCAACAGCATATAATCAACATCATCATCATCATCATCATCATCATCGGGACACCATCATCATCATCTTCTTCTCATCATCTCATCATTATCGTATTAGTATTTCATCATCATCAACATCATCATGATCAACATCATCATCATCATCACCATCATCATCATCATCATCGGGACACCATCATCATCGCATCAGCAACATCATTATTATCATCAACATCATCATCGGGACACCATCATCATCACCACCATCGCCAACATCATCACCATCATCATCATCACCATCAACAGCAACATCGTCAACATCATCATCAGCATCATCATCACCATCATTTGGACACCATCATCATCACCACCATCACCATCAGCATCATCATCATCATCAACATCATCGACATCATCATCATATCATCATTATTATCATCATCACCATCACCGTCACCGTCACCATCACCATCACCATCATCAGCATCAGCATCATCATCATCATTATCATCATCATCATCATCATCATCATCACCATCATCATCATCATCATCATCATCGGACACCGACGGGACACCCGGCGGGACACCGCGCGGCATCGGCCCCCGGAAAGGAAAGATTTGGTCAGGCCGCGCCTCAGCCAGAGGCGGGACACCGGCGGGACACCGCGCGGCACCGGCCCCCGGAGAGGAATCATTTTGTCCGGCCGCGCCTCAGCCGGAGGAGAATTTCTTCTCGCCCGCCCACGCAGCTTCGCCTCGCCCGCACGCACGGCACGCACGAACACGACACCGAAACCGATTTCCCGGTAGGGGGGCTCTCCGTTCCACTTCGATCTCACCCCTTCACCTCCGATATACACATATACACCCCACTCCCCTTCCGCTTCCCCATTTCCTCTACTCCCCCTTCTCCTCCTCCCCCTCCTCCTCCTCCTCCTCCTCCTCCTCCTCCTCCTCCCTCGGACTCCACCCCAAAGAGGAAGCATCCATTCCTCCTCCCAGAGAGGTCCGTAGAGGTCTCCAGAGGTCCCTGGGGGCCTCGGGTGGTCCCCAGAGGCCCCCAGAGGCTGCCTGAGGCTCCCAGGAGGGCCAAACACGTCTGAGCATCTCGATCCTCCCTCGTTCTCGGATCCAGCTCTTTCAGAGGCTGGCCAGCCCATGTCCTATGTCCTCTCCTCGCCACACCCCCGCTCAACCAGGTGAGCGGCGCAGCAACAGAAACGGGTTGACTGTGCCGACATCGGCGCGTGCGCTGCCCGCGTGTGGTCGTGCGGAGGCGCTCTGTCTTCCGCGTAGCCTGCCGCCTGCGCGGCCCGCGTAGGCCTTTGCGTGAGGTCGCTGTTTGGCTGGCTGGCCGACGCGACCAGGCGCCCGCGCGAGGGAGGCGGGTGGGGGAGGGGACGCGGTGCTATACGACAGCATGGTGCTCCACCACGGGGGCGCGAATACCTCGGACAAGGCCCCTCGACTTCCTTCCGCTCTCGTCGTCGTGGTCGTCGTCTTCGTCGTCCTCGTGGTCGTCCTCGTCGCCCTCGGCATTCCCTCTCTCTTCCTCCTTCCCGCTTGTCCCCCTCCCCCTTCGTCCCACCCCTCGGATGGGGGGGGAATAGGTAGGAGGGAAGAGGATGATTATGCTGCTGCTGATGATGGTGGTGATGATGGTGGTGATGACGATGCTGCTGCTGATGATGATGACGTGATGCAATGATGATAGGTTGTTGTTGGTGATGATGATGGTGATGATGCGGATGATGATGATGATGATGATGATGATGATGATGATGATGATGATGATGATGATGATCATCATGCTGATGATGATCATGCTGATGATGATGTTGATGATGGTGCTGATGCTGATATTGCTGATGCTGATGATGATGCTGATGACGATGATGATGACCCTGATGCTGATGCTTATGATGATGCTGACGATGCTGATGATGCTGATGATGATGCTGCAGATGATGGATGATGATGAGGAGAAGCAGGATGAGGAGGAGGATAGATGAGGATGGGGCGATGAGATGGATGATGACGATGCTGATGCTTTTGCTGCTGCTGATGGTGTTGATGGTGATGCTGATGCAGATGACGAGGATCATATGATTTGGGTGATGGTGCTGCCGAGGATGAAGATGATGAGGTGATGATAATGTGGATGATGACAACGATTCTTACATAGAGGGTGGCAACGCCGATGACGGCGATGACCACGACGATGATGGTGGTGATGATGATGATGATGACGACGACGATGAATATTGTAATGATGGTGGTGGCGATGGTGTTGATGGTGATGATTCTGATACTGCTGATGGTGATGGTGATGATGATGATGGTGGTGGTAGTGGTGAATGTGATGATGCCGATTCCGATGATGATGGTGTTCATGCTGCTGAATATGATGATCGTGACGTTGGTGAACAAACGGATGAGCATGATGCTGATGGTGCCGATGACGATGATCGCGATGGTGATGGTGATGACGACGTTGACGACCATGATTCCCCAATCAGAGCTTGCCTCTGTAGGGGTCCTAGCGGATTAAAGGGTTAGGTGAGAGGTGCGGCCGATTTCGGTGGCCGGGCCCGGGTGCCCGGGGGTGCCCGGGTGCCCGGGTGCCCGGGTGGCCGGTGAGGTGCGTGGCCGATTTCGGTGGCCGGGCCCAGGTGCCCGGGTGCCCGGGTGCCCGGGGGTGCCCAATAGCCCAATAGCCCAGTAGCCCTATAGCCCTATAGCCCTGTAGCCGTATAGCCCTATAGCCCTGTAGCCCTATAGCCTTATATCCCTATAGCCCTAATAGCCTTATATCCCTATAGCCCTATGGCCCTATAGGTCACAGTCCAATAGCTCTATAGCCCCATAGCCCGATAGCCCTATAGCCCTATAGCCCGATAGCCCTATAGCCCTATAGCCCGATAGCCCTATAGCCCTATAAGGGAGCAATTGGAAGATTATAAAATCTGATTGGGGTTTTTCTCCGGTATCATGCTGACTATTTTGACGATTTCTGATAGGTATGATGGTGGTACTGATGGTGCAGATGATGCCAATGATGACCCCAATGCTGATAGCGAGGATGATGAGGCGGCGAAGGGAGGATGGAGGATGAGAAAGATGACGATGAGGTTGCGACTGCGGGATAGTGAGAGAGGAATGATGAAGACGAGGACGGTGCGGACAAGGAACGTGATGACTGAGGGAGACGGGATGACGAGGAGAATGAGGATATTGGGAGAAGTTGGAGGAGCGGGAGGAGAGGGAGGATGGAGAAGAGGGATGAGAGGCATGCTGAGGACAATGGCGATGACGACGACGATGACGTCGCCGATGCGGCGGCGGCGGCTTCTGAGGCTGCTGCTGCTGCTGACGACGACGATGATGATGCTGACGATGATGATGATGATGCTGATGATGATGACGATGATGATGATGATGATGATGATGATGATGATGATGATGATGATGATGATGACGATGATGATGATTATGTGTATAATGTTGATGGTGATGATGATGGTGATGCTGGTAATGATTATGACAGTGATGGTGGTGATGGTCCTGATGATGGTGGTTGTGGAGGCGACGACGAAGACGACGATGATGCTGATGATGACGATGAGGAGGATGCTGCTTCTGCTGCCGCTTCTGCTGCTGCTGATGACGACACGGACGCGCATTCTGATGCTGATGGTGCTAATGCTGATGCTGATGCTGATGCTGATGTCGATGCTGATGCTGCTTCTCATGATGCTGCTTCTGATGATGGTTAGGATGATAATGGGAACGCGGAGGAGGATGACGAGGATGAGGCGGATGAACAGAAGGAGGATGCGGAGGAGGATGAGGAGGCGGAGGACGAGGGGGAGGCGGTAGGGAGGAGGATGCTGCGGACGAGACTGATGAGGGGGTTACGGAGTAAGGTGCTATGGTTGGTGATGCGGGGGATGGGGGAGATCGCAGGAGGGAGGGGTATGTGGATAAGGGCGAGAATGCGACCGAGGGGTGACGATGGACGCTTGTGACAGTGATGGCGACGCTGGCGATTCTTATTTTTATGGTGGTGGTGAAGTTGAGGACGACGTCATGCGGATTGTGACGGGCAGGCGGAGGAGGGTGAGAAGGAGGAAGACTATGACTAGGCCGATGCGGATGAGGGAGAGTATTGTTTGACCAGAGGTGATGATGACGATGTTGATGACGATGGTGGTGCGGTGTTTGATGCAGATGCTGGTTTGCATGATGCCACTGCTGCTGACGATGATGAGGCTGCTGCTGCTGATTCTAATGATGATGCTGCTGCTGATGATGATGATAATGGGGATTGGGATGACGATGAGGCTGATTAGGATGATTCTGATGATGGTGACAATGATGATGACGACGATGATGGTGATGCTGCTGATGAGGCTGACGCAGACGACGATCAGTATGCTGCTGATGATGATGATGAGGATGCGGATGATGAGGCTGATGCTGATGATTAGGATGATGATGAGTATGCTGACGAAAGCGATGATGAGGCTGACGGTGATGATGTTGCTGATTCTGATGATGATAATGACGACGGTGCCGATGAGGAGGCTGATGATGATGCTGATGACGATGCTGACGCTGTTGCTGGTGATGATGATGATGATGATGATGATGATGATGATGATGATGGTGGTTGTGGTGCTGGTGAGGATGCTGCTGCTGATGATGAAGCTACTTATGCAGCTGATGCTGATGGTGCTGATGGTGATGACACTAATGCTGTTGATGATGGTGTTGCTGATGATGATGCTGATGATGATTCTGAATACGATGATCCTGATGATGCTGCTGATGATGATTCTGATGATGATGCTGCTGATGATGATGATGGTGATGATGCTGATACTGGCGCTGATGCTGATGATGCTGATGATGTTGGTGTTGCTGTTGGTGGTGTTGATGGTGATGCTGACGATGATGCTAATGATGGTGGTCGTGGTGGTGGTAATGGTGATGGTACTGATGCTGCCGATGATGCTGATGATGATGCTGCTGGTGATGAGGCTGCTGCTGATGATGATGCTGATGACGATGATGATGATGATGATGATGCTGGTGATGATGATGATGATGATGATGATGCTGATGGTGATGATGATGATGATGATGATGATGATGATGATGATGATGCGGAGGATGATGGTAATGATGATGCTGCCGTTGATGATACTGACGATGATGGTGATGCCGCTGATGCTGATGATGATGCCCATGCGGATGATGATGATGATAATGATGATGCTGATGATTATGATGATGCTGCTGCCGATGATGACGATAATGATGATTCTGCTTATGATGATGGTGCTGATGATGCTGATGCTGATGCTGGTGCTGATGCCGCTGATGATGCTGATGCTGATGCTGCTGCTGCTGGTGATGATGATGATGCTGATGATGATGATGATGATGATGATGCTGATGATGATGATGATGATGATGATGATGATGATGATGATGATGATGATGGTGATGATGGGGATGAGGACGGGCATGCTGCTGATGATGATCGGATGGGGGAAGAAGAGGAGGGAACTGAGGCGGAGGCGGAGAGGGAGGCGGATGTGGCGGCGGAGGCGAGGGAGGAGGAGGAGGATGATGACGAGTAGGAGACGGAGGAGGAGGAGGAGGAGAAGGAGGAGGATGAGGGGGAAGAGGAGGATGACAAGGAGGAGTAGACGGAGGAGTCGGCGGAGGATGAGGCGGAGGACGGGGACGATGCTGATGACGGTGATGATGATGATGACGATCCTGATGCTGATGCTTATGATGATGATGCTGCTGATGATGATGATCATGATGCCGGTACTGATAGTGATGATGATGCTGATGCTGATGATGTTGATGATGACGGTGAGGACGATGGTAATGATGATGCGGATAACGATGCTGATGCTGATGATTATGAGGATGATGCTGATGAGGATGATGATGAGGATGATGATGATGCTGGTGATGATGTTGATCATGCTGATGATGCTGATGATGATGCTGATGCTGCTGATGTTGATGTTTTCCCACTCCTCGGATTGGGGAGGGAATCGGATGATTATGCTGCTGATGATGATGATGCTGCTGATGATGCTGCTGCTTCTGATGATGGCATACTGGTCTGATGATGATATGTTGTTGTTGATAATGGTGATGGTGATGATGCGGCTGATGCTGATGATGATGATGATGTTGATGATGCTGATGCTGATGGTGCTGATGATGATGCTGATGCTGCTGATGCTGATGCTGATGATGATGATGATGGTGATGCTTATGATGATGATGCTGATGACGATCATGATGCTGATGCTTATGATGAGGGTGATGCTGCTGGTGATGATGATAGTACTGATCATGATGCTTATGATGATGATGACCATGACGATGATGCTGATGATGATGTCGATTCTACTGCTGCTGATGATGACGATCACGGTGACGATGACGATGATGATGCTGATGATGCTGATGATGATGCTGATGATGCTAATGATTGTGATGGTGATGATGCTGATGATGAGTATGAGGATGCTGCTGCTGATCATGCGGCTGACGATGATGATGATGTTGATGATGATGATGATGCTGATGATGATGCTTATTATTATTATTATTATTATTATTATTATAATAATAATAATTATTATTATTACTATTATTATTATGATGCTGCTGATCATGCTGGTGACGATGATGCTGCTGATGATGCTGATGACGTTGATGGAGGTACTGACGGCGATGACGATGACGATGACGATGACGATGCAGATGGCGATGACGACGATGGCGATGATGATGATGATGATGATGATGATGATGATGATGATGATGATGATGGTGATGATGGTGATGATGATGATGCTGATGATGATGATGATATTGATGCTGAGGAGGATGAGGATGGGGATGAGAATAAGAGTGATGATGATGATGATGATGATGATGATGATGATGATGATGATGATGATGCTGATTACAAAGAAGAAGGACATGTAATGCTGATGACGGGTATGTCGATGATGTTGTTGTTGAGGATGATGCTGCTGATGATGATGCTTACGATGTTGATGATGCTGCTGATGATAATGACGCCTCAGGGTGATGAGGATGCTGATGATGATTGGGATGCTGATTTCGATGATGTTGATATGTTGTTTTTGTTGGTAATGCTGGTGGTGATGATGATGGTGAAGATGAAGACGATGCTGCTGCTCATGAGGATGATGACGATGATGATGCTGCTGATGATGATGAGGAGGAGGAGGCGGTGTTGGCGGAGGAGGAGGAGGAGGTGGAGGTGGAGATGGAAGTGGAAGTGGAGATGACGGTTGAGGTGGAGGTGGAAGTGGAAGTGGAAGTGGAGATGGAGGTTGAGGTGGAGGCGGAGGTAAATGCGGTGGTGGCGGAGGTGGATGTGGAGGCGGATGCGGAGGCGGATCTGGAGGCGGGAAAGGAGACGGATGAGGAGGAGGATGAGGTGGAGGTTGAGGAGGAGGAGGAGGTGGAGGAGGGAGGAGGTGGAGGCGCGAAGGCGGTGACGGAGGAGGCGGAGGAGGAGGAGGAGGAGGAGGAGGAGGAGGAGAGGAGGAGGAGGAGAGGAGGAGTAGGAAGAGGAGGAGGTTGGTGGCCGTGGTGGTTGTGGAGGTGGAGTTGGAGGAGGAGGAGGAGGAGAGGGAGGAGGAGGTGGAGGTGGAGGTGGAGGTGGAATATGAGGTGGAGGTGGAAGCGGAGGTTGAGGTGTTGGTGGATGAGGAGGTGGAGGCGGAGGCGAAAGCAGAGGTGGAGGTGGAGGTAGAGGTGGCGGTGGAGGTTAAAGGTGGAGAAGGAGGTGGAGGAGGAGGAGGATGAGGAGGATGAGGAGTAGGAGGAGGTAGAGGCAGAGGCGAAGGCGGTGGAGGAGGAGCAGGAGGTGGAGGAGGAGGAGGACGAGGAGGTTGTGGTGGCCGTGGTGGAGGGGGAGGTGGAGGTGGAGTTGGAGTTGGAGGAGGAGGAGGATGAGGAGGAGAAGGAGGAGGAGGAGGTGGAGTAGGAGTAGGAGGTAGAGGTGGAGGTGGAGGTGGAATATGAGGTGGAGGTGGAGGTGGATGAGGAGGTGGAGGTGGATGAGGAGGTGGAGGCGGAGGCGAAGGCAGAGGTGGAGGTGGAGGTAGAGGAGGAGGTGGAGGTTAAAGGTGGAGGAGGAGGAGGTGGGAGGAGTATGATTATGCTTATTATTAGGAGGAGGAGGAGGAGGAGGAGGAGGAAGAAGGAAAGGAGGAGGAGGAGGAGCTTGAGGTGGAGGTGGAGGTGGGGCTTGGGGTGGAGTTGGAGGTGGAGGTTGAGGAGTAGGATAACGAGTTGGAGGAGGAGGAGGAGGAGAAGCAGGAAGGAGGGAGGAGGAGCGTTCACCCCCCTCATCTTCCTTCTCGTGTCCTTCTCCTTTTCCTCTTCCTCATGCTTGTTTTCCCTTGCTCCTCCCTGCTTCTTCCTCCATCCTTCTCCTCATGGTCCGCCCCTCCTTTCTCCCACCTTTCTCGCTCCGTCGCTCCGTGAGGAGGGAGGCCGCCCGGAGCAGACGGGCCCCAGGTGCGCATGCTCTTGTACGTCACCTTCAGGGCCGAGGGCGCGGACCCCCGGGCGCTGGGCGTGGAGCAGCACTCGATCAGAGGACGCTCCTTTGGCGCGCGCGGGGGCGGAGCAGCATGAGGAGAATGCCACCTTGGGCGGAACGGCTGGGCAAGCAAAACTCGGGGGCGAGCGAGAGGGAGAAGGCCTTCTCAGAGGGCGGCGGGACTTCTCAGAAGCCCTCGCGCCTTCTGAGAAGCGTCCTGAGTCTTCGGGGAAGGCTTAGAAAACTTCTCAGAAGGCCGGGGGGCTTCCGAGCC